CCGATAAAAACGTCAGCGTGATTTAAGCCCGGTGCCCGGCTAATTATGAGTAACAGATGTAGATGGGTTAATAAAAATTCATAACAGTTTAAAGCGTTTCCGCCGGCTCCGATATTAATCCGTGAATGATGGAACGAACGAAGCGCAGAGTAGAGGAAGAGAAGCGGAAGAGGAACGGTAGTAGTAGCTCGCGATAAAAAGTAAAATCAACTTAACTGCCGCTGTTTTTAACAGCCACCATCGTTTAATATTTCCTTGTCGGCTTAATTGTTTAAGCACGGATTACAACCTCGAAAAATCATCCTTTTTAATGACCAAATCCTACGTGACAGAGCGGGACTTTTTGTTCCTTCGATTTCGATACTGTTTCGTTGGAGGATGTTCTCCTTGAAATTATAATTATTTCGTTCGTCTTGTCCAGTTAGATTCTACGAATTTTTCGTTTATTTCTGCTTCGATATAATGGGTATCTCGCCTAAACTATGCCACTAAATATTTCATTCAGTTGTGCTTATATAAAAGATACTTTAGATGCAAGTTGTATGGTACCAAAGGAGATATACACCGTAAAGAATATTTTTGTCTCAAGGTCACTTTTCTCAATTCAGAGTTTTCAAGATCACACACGGATTATAATTCTTGCATATAAATGCATATCTTTGTCTCTTGCACGTTATAGCTGACATTAAAATGCGTTCAGATATGTACATACATAACGAGATGACCTTGACGTGACCTTTGACTCTTGAAGCGACAAAATTAGACTCATAATCCTTTGCGACGAAAAAGAAAAGAGAGAATCGTATCATCGAAGAGAGAAAAGGGAGGAGACACGAGCTCTGGTTCACCAGCACGGGCCGCCACCCCTGCTGCGCAGCTATAATTTTAAAACGCATTTGTTCGCCGGGCGGCTTACTCCATCAACGCCGCGAGCAAGCTTCTAACGAGGCGGCCTGTAAAAAGTTCGCCCCGCTGAAAGAAGGTGACAAAACAGCCGGAGACGTGTCAAGCTTTGCGGCACCTGCGTCATCCTCTACCCTCCTCCTCCTCCCGCCATCTAACCACCCTCCGTGGAAACGTATCATAGAACAGGAGGAAGGACAAGGACGGAGTGTGAACCCTCTGCAGTCGACGACAGGCTCGCGTCACTGCGCCCCCCCCTTTTTCTATTCGAACAGAAAGAGAGAAAGAGGAAGAGAAGGAGAGAGAATAAGTGAAAGAGAGTGAGCGAGAGAAAACCCCTATTACCTATCTCCGCCACAGTATCCGTCCCACCCCCTTCTTCGACGATCCCTCCTGAGAGAGAGGAGCTTCCGCCTCCACTTTTACTCCCGCCTCTCGAGCTACATCTGTACTACCAGTGCTGTAGCACTGCTCTCCTAGCTATACGAAGGAACCTCTCGAAGAAGCCTTTCTTCCACCAACGTGTGTCCCGTTTTGTTCCTCCTCTGAGAGGTTCGCCATCTTTCGAGCCTCGAAGGCTCTCCCTCAGCCACTGCCGCCGCCGTCACCACCGCCTCCCTCCTCCTCCTCCTGCTGCCTCGCGCCACCACGACCCTCAACCATCGCGCGGCGGCAGGGCGCGCGTGTCGTCGCGGCCCGTCGATGTAGCGCTGTCATTGGCTCGTTCTACGCCGCCATATTTACATTTTTATTGAAAGCTACAACGTCTGTGTCGGTGAGTGATGTGCAAGGGGATGAGCGTTGGACGTTTCACCTTCCCCTACCCTCCTCCCCTCAGGAAAGTAGGTACACCCTTTGTGCAAGGATAGGGATGGTATTGGGTGTATCAGTAGGGTGGGAGGGAGGGAGGAGGAGGAATAAGGGGGGAGGGTTAGCATTCAATTACCTCGGATTTCCTCGGCAAGAGGCGATTCACCTCCGCGTATATACGCCATCCTCGGGGGCGAGATTGCCGCTGCCGCGGCGTTTCCCCCGAAATATTACGACAATATATACTGGCGGATAGTAGGACGAGAGAGGTAGCTGATTCAGAGGCATCGATTCTTGCTTCGAGGATGTTTTTGGTGAGGTGGTTGCTCGTCGAGGGAGATTCTCTGTTCCGTGGTTTTGGGCCTTTTGATGAACAGGTTGAGAATGGAGAGAAGGTGGTGATTTGCTACCATTTTTTAACCCTTCTTCTAACACTTTGACGCTCGTTTGTATCTACAGTTACTCCGAATAATATTTTCAATATTACGAATATGAATAATGATTGTATTCAAATATGTAATGGAGTGTTTTCAGTCGTAGCTTTTCGTGGTTGAATTTTGCTGAAATCTTTATTTCAGAAGTTCTGAATAATTGGAAGATAGTTCGATAGTATTCTGCGATGGAGGTGATAAAAACTTGGGAATAGACTCATTTTCCTCGATCGTATTAGAATTAGGTTTTTTTGTCAGAAAATTGAGAATAAATCTTACGTTCGACGAGAAGAATGATCATATTCTTGGACCATGCTGTTTCAGTCACTTACTTACGTGATATGGAAATGGTGAATTAAATTCAACGAGAATAAATAGGTGTGTGGTAAATCAAGATTTGCTACTTGAAAATTACATCTTAAGTATATTATATTTCATAATAATTGAAAAATTTACAAGACATAAGTAAATTCATAAATTATACAAAAAAATAATAATTCTACGTAACAAGAACTATCACTAAACGAATTCATTTGCTATCTTGATGCAGAACAAAATATTCAAATAAAAGGAAGACGTAGAAATTACTACGAATCCGGCGACCAAACTTCTTTCTTGCGTAACAAGATCGGCTTTAATATTCTGAGCGTTTCGTTGGAACCTTGATGGACGAAAAAAAGATAACAGGAGGAAGAAAAGGGGCTCGGAATAACAGAGCTGGAATAAACAGCGAGGAAGGGAAATTAAAAATAAGGAAACACAGAAGATCGGGGCTTAAAACTAATGATCAAGGTATAATTGGCGAAACAGGGGGATGAAAAGAAGAAAGTTTAATAATTCTTATTCGAACAGTGAAGAATTCTTATTCATAGTTTCTCTGTCAAATATAATTTATATGAAAATAATTAAAAATTAAATGTAAAAAAATAGTTAATCTGTGAAACATAATTTAAGAAATAACCATTGAAAATTGGTAAAAAGAATAATAAACTTCTGGAAGATGTAAATTAAAACTGAAATATCGAAGGAATTTTATAAATCCATACTTTTTCCTATTCTCATAGTAAAAGCGATTTCTGTAAATAAAAAAGAAACAAGATCGAACTTTTATCGCGAGAAAAATCAAGGTATGGCGGCACTTCCGTTTGATACACTGCTGAAACAGGCTTTCGTCGCGAACTTTGCTCGTTTGCTTCTGTGTTACGATCATGTGCCCCGTATTACATTCTTACTTTCTGCTTTTCTCGATGTCAGCTAGCAGATAACAGAAATGTACTGTCCTCTGTTATTGTTAAGCGCGTACAAGTTTTGTCGAACAGACGAAAGAACAGGAATCGTACAATTGCATTCGAGTCTTGAAAAAAAAATTCTCACTTTTCCAAAAGAGACGACAATTTGAAAATTTCGGCAAATCAAAAATTTTAGAAAAATTGAATCATTTAGACAAGTAAAAACATTAAGTACACGCGTTAATAGCAATTACAAGTTTCACTCGTTTAATTACAAAATTAGAATTTCTTGTAATAAACAAAAAATTTCCATAGTAAAAAGTACATTGTGTGTTTTTTTTTTTTATGTTATCTGAATAATTTCTGTGCGATACATTTCACACTTTAATGTTATTCGATTTTAAGGAATAGTTTGTCTATTTAATACGTCTAACGTAAACAGTGACGATCATGCGTTGAACTCTCTAGATGCCTAAAAATGATCTCCGGCGACGCG